GTGCTGTTACATCGAACATTATTATTGCGCATTGCCCTGAAAGTCAAAATCTCCTCAGTATCCACTCTCCAGAAGGGACGGAGGAATTCAAAAGTAGACCGAGTGATAGCATCAGATAACACAACTACCCTCTTGCAAGGCTGCCGATGGCTCCCTCATTCAGCAAGTTAGTCTGATGGCAGATCAAAGCACTTTACCACTTCCGAGACTGATTTAGTAGCTTTTTTCTGCATAATTTTACTTGATAACGGCAAAAAAAAAATTATGCAAAAGCTGCCAGTATCTCAGTTAAAGAAGACTGTAAACATACCCTGGATGTAGTAGCCATCGCGTAGTCCGCCGAACTTCTCCTGGCCCGCAGTATCCCAGACGTTGAATCGAATTTGGCCCCTATTCGTGTGAAATATCAGCGGATGCACCTCCACGCCCAGTGTCGCTGGAAGAAAAAGATACATGCTAAAAATGGTACCAGAGATTACGGCTGGGCCGGCACACAGCATCAATAGATGGGCATTTATTTCACTGTGTGGTATGAATCAAAAGGATGGCGTGAAGCCGTACAACGACGATTTGTACCCGCAGCAAAAAAACAGCTTAGATGGGCCTTCAAGGAAAAGCGCAAAGGCCTAACCTAGCCAGCAAATACCATGAAAAGCACGCAATTCAAGCAAAGACGGAGTTGGCAAGGATGCTTTCAGAGTTAAGGTGCATTTTCGTATAGTTTTGGACATCCAAGTTGGACAGAGTCCAGGCTTACTCGGCGAGATTAAATTATACAAAGTTAATTTAAGCGAAGCTGAAGCTAAATTAAATCCGCTGAAGCCACAAAGAGCCACAACGAAGGCGAAGAAACCCCCTGTAGTGCTGACAAAAATGATAACAGTGGCAAAAGATAACAGCGACAGAAAATAACAGTAGCAAAGTACAACAATAATTGGCCAAAGCACGGGCTGCCCGTGCGAAGATGCGTTTTTTGCATAGCTCCCCGTAATATTTTTGTCGCTAACGGCACTGGTTTTTCTGGCAGATGCTTCTAGCTAAAAGAGTGTCAGGAAACATCCCTTCAAAATTCCAGTCTTCTTCCTTCTCACGTTCCCGAGTTAGCAACTTACCCGAAAGAAACCTTCACGGGCCCGTACGTTGGTACCAAGCTCCCCCGCGGGCAGGGTTTGAGCTCGTTAATACCTGCTTGGACGAGGAACATCACCCTAAGATTCCAGCTTTCTAGTTTCTCAGATCCCCGAGTTATGGACTTACCGGAAGAAAACTTTGGTGGGCCCGTACGCGAGTACCACGCGAGTAATGGCGCCTATTTTGGGAATTGGGGCTCGTACGTGCGTGTAGATTAAGTTTCCGAAGTTTCAGCCCTGCAGTTTTTGTAGGTCTCGAGATGAAAAACCGTGACAGAGGCACACGGGCACATAGACACACAAACCTCTCGTCAATATGCGTTTTCCGCACTGCATAGCTGCAAAAAAAAAAAAAAACCGCATAACAAAAAGCATCGGAACCAAGGCAAAGAGCAGCAAAAAAAGGCACTGACCAACGTATTTTTTCTCGAACTCGCCGGTTAGATGCCTCTTGACGAACGTCGTCTTTCCAGTACCGCCATCACCGACCAGCACAAGCTTGAACGTTGGGATATCGTCACCTGTGGCCATCATTAGGTCGCTGCAAAATGGAATATGAAAATAAGCGTGAAATATGCCCCAGAAAGCCCGGGAACGTTTCGCAAAAGCCAGAAACTGGCCACGAAATCTGGCAATCCATCGCCCCCCCCCCCTCCCACTCCTCATAAAAAAAAGACCTAAAACAGTTGGAAGCACGGGCCAGGGTGCGAAAAGTCTACGATTTCTCAAACGATCATGAATCATGGAAGTAGTCTCCCCCCCCCC